CAGGCAGTCTCAAAATGTTTTTCAGGTGTGCTAAGATAAATAAAACAACGTCGGCCATCTACTGCGTGCGCCATTAGTTAAAGCGTAGAAAAATACTGGCTAGTGTGCGGAGCATGGGCTAGGAGAAGGGTCCACCAGGTGGAACTACCAGGCAGGTAGAGCTACCATTACTGCGCATGCTTCATTAAGACTTAGGGCAAAAGCTCTACAACTCTTTATCTCGCAAGGTCAGCCATCGCGTCACAGTGACCTGGAGTTGGTCGAGCGCAAGTCACGCCACACGATTCGCTGCGGAGAGGCGTGTGGCCACACTCGCTCGGAGCTTCGCCACTTTGGTATCACGTGAGCACGCGGAGGTCAAGCGGCTGCTTGCCTGGCACTTGGCCACTCAGTCACACCATGGATGCCGCACTGGCTGAGCTGTATAATTTGATTTGATATGTGCCGTTTGACTTCCCAAAGCCACCATATGATTATGAGACTCGCCGTAGTGGAAGGCTCCGGAAATTTCAACCACCTGGGGTTTTTTAACATGTGCCAAAACCTGAGCACACAGGCCTACGGCATTTTCGCCTCCATTGAGAACGAAGCCGCCGCTACCGGGATTCAGACCCGCGACCTGTGGGTCAGCAGCCGAGTACCTTAGCCCCTAGACCACCGCGGCGGGGCTGGCTGAGCTGCCTACGCGTGCGTTTCAGCACGAGCGAAGGGCCCAGTTCTGTCATCCGGTAGACACTGCTGGGCGGCAGGCAGCGAAACATGAGGCAAATGCCAAGTTCGTCGTCGTCTGCTTGGCGAAGGTCAAGATGACGGCATGAGGCAAAGGCTAGGTATTGTTTGTTTTTTGGTATTTAGCGGCGTCTGATAGCAACAATGAGCATGCGCTCATTGTTGCTATCGCTCGCTAGCCTCTGCTGTAACAGCCATGCTCGTGCATGTCTTCTTACTTTGTCATGTTCCGGGTGCATGTTCCTTGGTATTTGGCACACAGCTATTTTGTCTTTGATTTCATAGGGAATAGACCAGGGCAGGTGGGCTTCTTTTTTGTTTTTTTTTTGTCTGCGCAGCCCAGGTTGTTTAAAAGGGCTTGTCCCGTTTTTGTAAGTTTTAATTTTTAATTTGGTTCCCCTTTTGGGCTCAGTTAACTCTTCCCAGGTATTGTGGACCCCCCATCTTGAGGATCTTTGTTGTGGACGTAGTGGGTGAAAGTCCAAAGGCTATTTTACAGAATTTGTGAATGCGCATGTTCACCTTGTTACGCTCACTGTTCTTCATGTCGACGTACGGAGTCCCGTACGTTATGGTGCTTGTAAGTAACTCTTGGATAACCGCTATGTATTCTTCCTCTCTGAGTCTATGGCATTTGCTAGCAACTCGCTTGATAAGATGTGTTACTTGTTGAACTGTTCGTTGTAGCTTTTCAAGCTCCACTCCACCGGTTCCATCTTTGTAAATAACAAGGCCAAGAAGGCGTGTGGTAGAGACTTTGGGAACACTGATTCCCCGAAGAGTCACTTCAGTATCCGGAATTTTCTGCGGTGGGTAGCCTCGCGTGCGTTCCCGTAGAACCAGGAGTCCCGATTTCTCTGGTGCGCACGAGAGAACACTTGTTGCAAGGTATTGTTCAGTGACTTACGCCGCTTCTTGCAGCTGATCATGTTCAGTTCTGGTAGATACACCTGTGGTCGAGATTGCGAGGTCATTAGTATAAAGTGCATGCTTGATGCCTTTTACTCGTTTAATAGGTTAGGCAGTGAGATTATGGCTATTTTGAAGAGCACTGGTGACATAACAGAGCCTTGTGGTGTCCCTTTTAACGGCAGCGTGAACCTTTCTCAGCGATGATTTCCCAGTCCCACTGTTGCAGTCCTGTCGGTGAGGAAATTTCAAACATAGTGATATAGTTTTTCTTTACAGTAGTAAACATTTAGATGACGAAAGATGCTCTTATGGGAGACGTTAGGAAGAGCCCCTTTCACATCAAGGGTGAGGATATCTCGCTTGCTGAAGTTGTCTAATTGGTCGGTTCCTTCCTCTTTAAAATGTAGAAGGGTGCCTTGGGCATAAAGATTGGACCTGAAACCAAACATGGTGTTTGGAATGTATCCGTTTTCTTTGAGGTACGGGGTGAGGCGATTAAGAACCATATGCTCAAAAAGCTTTCCGGCACATGAAGTTAGAAATATGGCGCGAAGATTCTGAATAGTCAAGGGCTTGTTGGGTTTAGGTATCATAGCTACTTCAGCATGTTTTCGCTTGGGTGGAACGCTCCCTTCTCCCAACACGTATTCATATAGTCAAGAAGCGAATCAAGTACTTGGCCTTCATGGTTGCGAAGAATCTTATTATTTATTTGGTCCTTACACGAAGCCCAATTGCGAGTAAGGTTGCTCAAGGCCACACACATTTCTACTGTAGTGAAAGCGTGGACTTGTTCATGATTGGGGCGACCTGTGTATGAATTGAATTTTCGGTGCGCGTACCTGTCTGCGATCTGTTTCGAAGAACTGCTCTTTGGCTTCATTTATGACTTCAGCTTCTGTCCCCGGGTAATTACGTATAAGGCGCTGAACATTTCGTCTAGTGGCTCCCCTGTGTTCCTTCTTCGTGAGGAATGTTTTAAGCACTTCTCAGCTACGTCTTCTGCTCAACGTTCCTTGCAGGTGATTGCAGGCTTGGTGAAATTATTTACTGTTTGACGCATGAGCATTTTTTAAAATTTTTTTGTCACCTTCACTTGGAGTTGGACAACAATCGAAGCCTTCAAAGCAGGCCAAACGCGTTTCAAACACCCTGCCCTGAGGCAGCGCATTCACCGCGTTGCCTTGTAGCAAAGCAAATGAAAGCGCTTTCCCGAATAGATGGAAGAGTGGCTGCTGTTAAAGGGCCGCTCACCAGGTCTCATACCAAATTTTAGTTAGTGGAAGCTGTTAGGTGTCTGATGAGGAACATTTCGTCGCAAAATTTTCTAAATCGTTTCATCACGATTGGAGAAAACGGGTTTTTTGAAGCGGCGCAAAACGAGGATGAGAGGAAGTGAGCTCGAAACCCTTGCCGCTTCTCCACGTAGCCTTCACAAGCAAATTCTTTTCCCCACCCTCTCCGGCATCCAACCAAGAGGTCGCGTGCGCATGACGTACCCAAACAAGTCCAACCCCCGAGCATGTGAGTGGCGTTGCTTTGTTGACCAGCGTTATTTTGTGGTCTTCTGCCGGTTTCTGCGGGATGGCTTGGAAACGCTGGCTTAGACGCGGTTGAATAGATTAGCACAATGCGTGCGCGTACGCGTAGGAGCGTTCCACGGTGGTTGTCTGCTTGATGCGCTGACCGTTGGTACAGAAACGCATGCGAAAAGCCGATACATTAGCCGCGCAACTCGTTGCAATTCACGGAAGAAAAATGGAAAAAAGACGCTCACATTCTCCTATTGCTTATCTATAGCTTTATTAATCTCTGCAAGCAACAAATTACATAAACTACGCATGCCGTGTTAAATATTTTTTGCTGCGTAAGGTTCCCCTGTTTGCAACGTCAGAGCAGAGTTGTCTACGTAGAGGACCAACACTGCATTTCCGTGTACGTATGACCAGTCATACGCGCAAGTCATGCCCTCATTTTCTGGGCGCGCTCCGGCAGAAGGGAGGCGGAGCAGCGTTCATCTTGAAATTTGACCTATTTCCGTGGCACGTAGCGTTGCATATTTTGGCAGACGTGATCAAGAACGCCTCGTCTACGCATTGCGCTCAGCTCAAAATTGTCAAACCTCGTGACTCGTTCTTCAAAAACTAAAGTGTTACTATTGTTACTGAATATCGCTTACTATTGAAGATTCGCAAAATCTCTTTGGCGGAAGTAACAAAGAAGCATCTCAAGATGCTCCTTTCTGGTCCGAGATGTCAGCTCTAGATCACTTCGTGCAACTTCCCCAACATGCGCGAATTCTAGAAGGAATTGGCTGCCGAACAACTACTGCGTTTCCCGAGCAGCGAGAACTCTCGGCGGCTGCCATTATGGTCGTTTCACCTCTCGTCAAGCGATGCTTCGCTCGCTACGACGGTCCGCTCACACGCTCAGCGCCTCACTGTCAAGCGCACTGGTGCAACAACCAACTGTCTGAGCGGAGTGGAAAGCAAAATAAGGTCAGAATAAAGTGCCTACCGTTGAGTACTACATCAACCAAAAAACAGGTTTTGTCAGTAATCAAGCACAATGAACTTCATCATATTTGCAATAAAACGCAACTTTAGTGAAATGCTAGGTTGGTAGTCGTTTTGAAATCAAGTAATACATTTTTGCTCGTGATAAGTAGATCACAAACCTTCTTTTTAGAGCTGAAACGCCTTAAGCTCGAGGCTTGTCTGTTGGTGGCGTGCGCCATAGGCGTGATGACAATAAAAATGATGACAATGATGATCACGAACAACGTCTAGCTTGTACAGTATGTGGCGTCTTGATATGCTCTACGATCCGTTTTATTTATTTGACTGGAAACAACCACCAGGGCAACGCGCCCAGACTTCACCTCTGCAAACTTCAGACTAGATCAAAAACCACAAGGCCGTAATAATGAAGACAGGATGAAATTCACAACACAGGATACAATTATGACCAATAAACATCGTATAGAACTGCAAACCACTTTGTCACTTAATTACATGAGTGAGTGGTTTATGGTAGCATCGAATGATCCCAATTCATCTTCATTATTCACTTCGTGGATATGTCGCGATTCGTTTTGCCCTTCTATTTGCACCTGTATGCTCACCTAACCTTCTGATATAACAGAGGCCTTCCTTCTACATAAAACTGATCAGGTAGCTGATCCCGTATTAGTGAAGTAATGACTACACAATACAGCATTCGGTTATTCCGGACGGTAACCACCTGACTCGGCAAACTTATAATATTTCAGTGGTTTGACCGCAAAGCACGCATGACGGCACGCTCGATACTCTTTTTTTTGAAGGGCTTTGTCAAGATGCGCTCGATGTTGTGCGCAGGTGGTGCTTCTGACCTTCGACGATGCGGTTAACGACTTGAACTTTGACCACTACACGGAGATCTTCGACACCGGCCGCAAGAATCCGAACGGCTGCCCGATTCGCGGGACATTCTACGTGTCGCATGAGTGGACCGACTATGGCCAGGTGCAGACGCTTTACTCAAAGGGACATGAGATGGCCTCGCACACGGTCACGTAAGTGCGCCTTCCCGACACGAAGGCGTTCGTTGTTTTGAAAAATATATCACCTTTTGGCTATGCTTTTAAAAAGGGCCGCCAGTTGGAAGGTTGGTAAAAATGAATGACGTAAAAATAAGTAGAGGGTGAAAAATGAAGCAAAAGAAAATGTCCGCATTGATTTTCGCCTCTGTTTTCGAGGAGCTATGAATGTTAAAGTTATGCAAGTTTTGGAAAGGCCGAATTTTCTCTGGTGAAGTTATTGTGTGCATTCGCACAGTTTAAGGTTACGCATGCTGAGGGCTTAGATTTGCAGAAAATCCTGCCGTGCCACTCTGATTCAGATTCGATTGCGGTGAAAATAAAGCTAAGTGACTGAGTCGGAGTCACCTCCATGAGCAGTTACTTCGAAGAGCTATTGTTGTGAATGAGTGCAATAAGTTCGAGTGGAGCTTCAACTGTTCAATTGACGATAAATCATGTAATATTATTGCGTCGTATTTTATTACAATCGACCATCTTAATACAGAGCACAAGTGTATTGAAGGCATGCTTTCCCAAACATTGATTCATTGTGGGAATGTGCGAATCGCTTTTATGTGAAGCAGTCGACGAGTGGCAGCATGTGCCTGATTTTTCATTTTGAGTCATGCGTTTTATCGCAAAATATGCCTTCTACGGTGCGATGAAGCTTATACCGTAATTATCGGTAATCGACATGTTCGAGCAACACTTTACTGAAGGCCTTTGATGTCTCATCAATCACGAGAATTGTACCGACGTCCGGCGTCAGCCTCCTCGATCGGCTGCGTCAACACGCGTGATGCGGAGAAAAAAAAAACATCACATCATACGTTGTCATAATCTGGTCAAAGACGTCATTATGACGCTATCGGGACGTCACTTCACAAAACAGACATTTTATTGCATGGAGAAAAAAAAGCGAAGGAGAAACCTTCGCTGTTCGTGCTACAGAGTGAAAAGTGTGGCGGAAGTATCGTGCTTTAGCAGAGGCTTGTGAGATTCCTTAGTCCCGCTGTCATCTCGTCTCATCTGCATCACAAACCACAGACGCGTGCGCAGGGTTCCCCTTCAGGAGGTGCGAAATCAATATAAGGAGCTGCTTTTGGGCCTCCCTTGAATCGCAGTGCCCCCTCTACTTCTTTTTGTATAGAATTGACCTAGCGCTCCCCTCTTAGGTAACCAGGATGGTGTAACAAGCTGTGTATGGTGAGACTGAGCTTTAAAGAAAACGGTCGTGCTTGTGTGAGAGACTCGCGATAACTTACCCGTCATCGCGACAACAAGAGTGCCGTTAATGCATTAACCAAATAAAAATTCCCAACACTCAATATATTTAAGAAACCCCAAAAATATAGCAAATAACAAAGAATGAAGCATGCAAAGCTAGAAAGAGGTTAACGAGAATAACAAATAGTTAAGAGACGCTGAACAGTGCGTGGAAATAACAATTGAGAGCATGGTGCAAGGAAAAATAATTTAGGTGTCAAAACTCCAACCGACGACGCATAGAGATAATGTTCGCCTCTCTGCTCCCTTTTGCCGCTAGAGTTACTGTATATGCTACCTTTAGGTAGCAAAGTTGCGCCTCTGACAGAACTCGCCACTCGCGCCACCATTCACCGAGCGCGCTCACGTGCTCAAACAGCGTCCGTTTAAGGAGAAGCCAACTTCACGGCCGCGCGAGTGCTGGCGACCGCAGTGACACCACTGCTACCACTGCACTGTCGAGCCGTCGAGACGTGTTTTTTCCCCGTCCCCCGTCCTTTAATTTTAGCAGTTTTTGCTCACTGCCGTGGGTGTATTTATTTCTCGTCTAAACCTTGAATGGCACTCTCGAGTGCCGCCGTTTTTAGGGCTTCAAGGTTTAGCATGTGATTTCTCAATCCCGCTTTTTTCATTTTTTATCATTGTTTACTTTATTTCTATGACACCACTCTGGACGGTCCTTCAATGCCATCGCTAACGGCAGATAACCTGCCTGGTGGCTTCCCGTCAGGCTATGCCCTCGACTTGGCAGAAAGATCCAAGGCGTGACCTACTGCTCAAAACTGTGGCACAGGTCTTGCACACAGGAACGGCCGGCCGACCAAGCCCGCCACGTCCCTCACCTACCTCCAGCGCACCTACCAGGGCAGGGAGGCTTAAGGCAGCCACGAGCCTGCTGTCCAAAGCTCCGCAACAGACCGCGAGCAACGCTGGTCCAAGGCGCCGGGCACGAAGGCAAAAAACTTCATACCGAAAAAGCACCCAGTAACAATGTTGTGTACTAGAATATTACACTATAGTAACGAAATGGCAGACAGCCGCCGCCGCCATTTTAGGAGCGCCCGCCAACCTGCAGAACCGGTCTCCGTGCCAGGAGACAGAAATACAAGCCAGCAGCAGTAATGAAGTTGGATACGCAGAAAAGACAGAATGTGAACTGTCTCCCTCTCCTCAGAAGAGCGACGCAGCCGGCAGTGGTTTTTCCCCCATCACCAAAAACCTCCTCCTCGTCGTGGTCACACAACACGCCGGCCTCCTCTCCCAACACCTCTCTAGAAGTGAGCAGCCCGGAACAGAACGAGCAGGGTTCCTCCTTCCCTTTGGTGACTGACGACACAGAAACATCTGGAAAAGCAGCCATCTCTACCCCACAAGTCGAGGAGAGAAAAGTTTTCCTCTCGGTCCCGACTACACCTCTTTCAAGATCATCTACTCAGCTACGCCGGGATGTAAACAATCCAGCGCATCTCAAGACACGTCGCCGCGCCCCCTTGCTCGCAGCAGCTGTGTGCTGGCGCCACCCGAGGAACTATTTCCTTCACTGCCATTCACAGGTGCTCCAAGCGGCACCAAACTCTGCGAACCACAGGTTCCTACTACCAACACACGGCAAAAGAACCAGGGGGTACAAAAACCTGCGGTTTCGACCCAAAGATGTACCCCACACTCTCAGCTACCTATGAGCTCTCAGTCCGCATCCCAGCTGGAGACCATCCTCTACAGGCCAACCACCAGGAAAAACTCCTTTCGGTCTGCGACACAAGGGGCAATCTCCGCACAATTAGCGGCAGTTGAGGGATCACACCGCGTGCGAATTAACTTCGGTCGCAATGTTATCGCAGTCGATGTTGCCGCGGGAGCACCGCTCGCGCCCCTCCTCGCAGTTTCCGACATCTGCGAGATCCCCGTGCGTACCAGGCAGGCGTCAACCAACACCTGCAGCGGAGTAATCCACAACGTCGACCCAGCACTCACGGAGGAGGAACTACGCGACAACATCGCATCGCAGCTCCCTGTACTGCAATGCACGCGATCCGGACGCAATGTCGTGATCATGTTCTCTGGACGGAAACCTCCTCAGGACATCGAACTTTACAAACAATGACGCCTGGTCCGTGCTCGCCGCTCTCATCCTGTGCAGTGCGAACGGTGCGGTCGCTACGGCCACACGAACATCACCTGCGCCTCACATGAACGTTGCGCTCTGTGGCGGCCCACATCCGCGTGCCGATTGCACCGCGCAGCGCCCGCATATTCTGTGGCGCCAACCATCTGGCCACAGAACCCCGCTGTTCTCGCTGGCAACAAAAGCTTCAGCTACTAGAGGTGCTCCCGCAATCAGCCCGCCCCATGACACGCCGCGAGGCCTTTGCAGTTGTTCGCAAGAAGAACCCCACGGCACAGAATTTTGCCACTCGAGAGGGGTTTCTATATGCGGTGGCCGCTGGTGGCTCTACTGCTCATGCATCAACGAAAACCACCACCCCTCCAGAGAACGCCTCGGCGATCTCGGCGCTCACGGTAGTAGTTCGTGCCACGTTGGACTTCCTCCCTCGCGACTGTCCGGTTCACACGCTCTGCATGGCAGCGCTGGCTACGCAACAAGCTTTGACAAAGCATGGCGAGTAAGAACTGTGCACGGCGGCCGCGCATCCTTCAGTGGAACTGTCGTTCTTTGCGCCGCCGTCACAGTGAGCTCACTGAGTACTTTCCACTCAACGAGTACGACATCGTCGCACTACAGGAGGCTTATGTACGTGGAAGCGAATGTAGACTTACTGGTTACTCGAGCTGCCATTGTAGAGCGAGGTGTCAAGTACGCGATTGCGACTTAGATGTATGTTGCAACCCCACACATCCTCCCGCCCGCTCTTACGCCTCCATCTACGTGCGCAGTGAACTCGCACATTGCACTGTTGATGTGTCGGACACCTTGTGCAGTGAGGCTGAATGTGTGGCGCTTAAAGTGCGTCTCGGGCAGCGCGACACGGCAGTGGCGTGTGTTTATGTTCACCCTTTCCACAGGTAGGACACGGCATTCGTGACCCGTTTGATGCGACGCCTACAAGGTGACTGTGTAATTTGTGGAAACTTCAACTGACACCATACGGCTTGGGGGGAGTGACCACATAGACTGCAGAAGCAGAGACCTGTTGGATACCATTGCTGGGACAGGCTTGCTTATTATCAATACGGGCTGTCCGACTTTCGTCCGTCGCGGCGTAAAGAGCAGTGTCATAGACCTCTCACTTGTGAGTGACCATTGCCGCTACGAATGGAAGAGGCAGGCAGACATGCGGGGCTCAGATCATTACCCCCTCCACCTAGAGCCACTTGATCGGCGCCACGTGGGCACACGCACATACACTGTTACTGACTGGCCGCCTTTTCGGCAACTCTCAGCTGCTTCCCCACATTCCGGTGTCGCCTACTTCTCGCACGTCACCCGCTGCGTCGAAGCGGCCTCGCGCAAAAGCACAGTGCCAGTGGGAACACCAGTTCCGCACATAAAACTTCTCAATCTACGCGCGGCTCGCCGGAGGCTCCAGCGCTGTGCGACTAAAAGCAACCGCAAGGAGTTCTGGACACTTTATATTCGCCTTGACGCCGTGTGCCGCCGACACGCACGGCAAAGACGTGACCACTCCTGGTGCAGTCTATGCGTCACGCTGGACGACCCGCGACGCTCCGCGCGTGCGTGGAGGATATTCAGGGCCGTCCCTTGCTCCGCTGAGTTACGTTTCCCAGCCCTCGCCATTGCTGTTGCTAATTGTCTCACTTACCAGCAATTGGCCGAGCTACTGGCTGACACCCTCCGCCTCAGTGCTTCCGAAAGCTTGCCCGAGGTTCCCCAAGTCTCCGTTGCACCATCGCTGAGAGTGGTACTAACCTCGACGCTTTTTCTTCACCGCTGGCATGCGCAATAAAATACGCGCTTTATGCAGTGAAGATTTCACTCTCAGGGAGTCGCGCCTGGCTTTGGGGTTGTGCAAACGGCGCTCAGCGCCCGGCGCTGACGGCGGGACATACCAGATGCTTCGCCAAATCGATCCGTCCCAGCTCCCAGTGCTCTTGGCCGCCTACAACGACGTGTGGCGCACTGGGATAGTGCCGCGAGAATGGCGCGAAGCCATCGTCGTCCCCGTTCTCAAGAAGGGCAAACCCGCCTCAGAGCCAGCGTCCTATCACCCTGTTTCCCTTACCTCCACCGCGGGCAAGCTCTTCAAGGCCATGGCACTGAGGAGACTTGAATGGATTGCCGAGGCATTGGATGTTTTCTCGTCTTCGCAGTGCGGCTTCCGCCGTTCGCGTGCCACTGCCGACGCCCTTGCCGACGTCATCGCTACGCTAGAGGAGGCACTAGCACAAAGAAGAGGATGGCTACCTCATCCTGCTAGATATCAAGGAAGGCGGCATTCGACTCCCTGCCACACCCCACCATTCTGAACGCAGTGCGCGATCTCGGAGTGAACGGTCTCCTCTTCACGTACAACGCTGCTTCCCTCGGCGGCAGAACCATGCGTGTGCGTGTCGGTGGAGTCCTTAGTGCGCCGTGTGCCGTGAGTGTCGGTGTTCCGCAGGGCAGTGTACTCAGCTCCTCCTTGTTCAATCTCGCCCTGGCTGACATCAACGATTACATTACCCGTGATCTTCCCTGTGATGTGCGCGTGGCGGTCTACGCGGACGACATTGCAGTGTTTGCGACGGGACCTATGCCCAGTGGCCGGTGTATTCGCACCAGTGTCCAAACCATCCTGGATTCTGTTGACGCGTTCATCACGGGCAGGGGGATGAGGCTTTCACCGACGAAGACTGAAGCGATGCGGCTGCACCCCAGCTAAGGCGCCAAGCGCTACACACCAAAATTCACTCTCCAAACAATCCCCATCCCTTGAAAGAGGCGAGTGACCTACCTCAGAGTGCAGCTGGACCAATGCCTCAACTAGTCACCAGCGGTCAGCGACCAGCTTCTAAACACGCGAAGGGTCGCCTCCGCCGCTCGAGCACTCCTTGCTAATGGCACCGTCCCTAGCCCTCCGCATCTACAACGGAATGGCTTCGGCGGACATTTTGTATGGCCTTCCCCTCGAAGCGCTTACGCGTTCCAACTCGGAGACACTGGACGCAGCGCATCGTATTGCGATTCGCCAGTTTTTCAGCTTGCCCAGATCATCTCAAATCGGCCCAACACTCGCTGAGGCGGGAGACATGCCGCTGTCACTCCGGGCCGATCTTCGAGCGCTAAATCACATAGAGCGTATGAAACGCTCGCGCCACGGACAGCAGCTGGTATTCTGGCTCTCCTCACTTCCGCACTCACGGATGGGGCGATGCGCTGCGGCATTCTATGCTCTCATCCCGAGCTCACCGGATATGAATGACTTTAGTGCCCCGCCCTGCCACGATCACCCTCTGAAGATTCGGACGTGGTTACGGGGAGTGGCAGACAAGCGGACGACGCCAGAGTGTGCGCTTCGGCACGAAACTGCCGGCACTTTTGACGAACTTCTCGCGAGGCAACTCCCCGTCTTTACTGACTGTTCAGTGTTGTACGACGGTTGTGCCGCGGCTGCATGTGTGGTGCCGTCGCTGGAGTTTCGCAATCAGTGCCGCCTCGCCTGTGAGGCATCGTCGACGATAGCCAAACTCACCACGCTTGACCTCGCTGCCGATGCCCTCCTTCAACTGAGAGTTCCATCAGCTGCCATTCTCTCGGACTCACATGCTGCTCTCCAACTGCTCGTGCAGGACTCCCGCAGACCTCCGGTTGCCACGCGCATTGCGCGAAAGCTTTAAGCAGTGCAGGACCTCGGGTGTGATCTAGTACTGCAATGGATACCAGTGCACGTTAGAATATGCTGGCAACAAAGCGGCCGAAGAGCTCGCCAAGAATACGCACTCTCCGGGAACGGCTGGGACTACAGCGATGAGCACATTCAACGTAGCACGGCTTCGCACACGGTGCTCCGTCACCGCTTGCCACCTGGACCCACGAGTTGTGGCAGGACAGCCACCACGCCCACTCCCGAGAACTGGATTTTCAAGAAAGGAGCGTGCCCTCCTTCTCCAGTCTGCGCATCGGCTGCTACTGCATGGCGGAACGGGTACACAGACAGTCGGGACGGGGAGACCCAAAGTGCCGTCATTTCTTGCAGCCCGAACCACTCCATCATATTATCTTTGAAGTGCAAGGAGTAATCGGACGCGCGCAGATCACTCTTCGGTGCTCACAGCAAACTGGGACTCTCCACCACCACCAATGTTGATGTGATTCTCTTTCCCCGTGCGCACGCATGCCTGGTGAAGCGCGCGCAAGCTGCTCTCATCACCTTCCTCAAGACTTCTGCTTATTTGAGCGCTTGTGATCTGAAGGAACATTAGTGCCTCCCCATCGAGGTCTACTGAATTTCCATTAGTGAGCGCTATGGACCACAATATTTTCCGTACAGAGATTGCGCGCTTCGGCGAGTGCTTCATGCACTTTATATGACGCGCCAATCCAACCCGTGTTCCTACTCTCGGTGACGATACCTCTCCGGCCCTTGGGAGCTTTCCTAGTCAGCTGCGCATGGCGCGTGGGGGCTTGTGAGTCCATTCCGGGAAGCACATCGAATGGCCCTCACGTCTTTTTTTTTCTCTTCTCCAATCTTAACCTCTCTATATCTTTTATTCCCTATATCCCATTCCTGTGCTGACCTGTTGAGGTGTCCTTGTAAGGAGAGACAGTTATGGGCTGGCACATTTATCTTCTTTTCTTTTGTTATAACCGCTCGTATAATATATCGAGCCGTCTGTCCGGCGAGCGAAGTGCACGGTGGTTCGGCTCACGCAGTGCCGATTGCTCGTTCATGTTGCAGTGGTGTTTCCTGCTGTCCGTTTTAGTTTTCTTTTTTCTTCTTGCAAGCGATAGTCATTGTGCCAGTGCCGGCCCCTATGCAGTAATTTTTTTCGCGGAGGTAAGGGGCCAACTTGCAATGAAATGATGACCACAAAAAACACCCATTTGTCTGAGTCATTTTCAGTAAAATACACGCACCCATAGGAGTTTCGGGAAAGGGGGAGTTACCCCCCTTTCTTTTAGCTATGGGCCAGCGTCAGCGACGCGTTATGAACGAGTGTACACTGAGGAAGTACGCGGAGCCGCTGAGCCGCGTAGCCTTTTACATTCCAGAGGGGTAGCTTTTCTGCTTCACATGAACGTGCTGGCGGGCAAGATGGCCGACCTATGCGCAACTCTGTTACCTACGGTAGCATATGCAGGGAAAATGACTCGTCCAAACATTAAAATCATTACATGCATGCCATGTAAAGCATGACTACATGCTACGCTCATAGTGCGCTCGCGACCGTTTCGCTAGCTTCATATATACCGAATTTCGTAATACGTGACGTTATTAAACGACGAAGGTAAATGACACGTACAAACATGACAACAATGACACGCGCGTCATGTAAAAAACATGGCTACCTGCTACGCTCATAGCGCGCTCGCTGCCGTTTCGCTATCTCCAAAAATACTAAATTTGGCATAACGTTACATGAATAGAAGATGAGGGTAAATGACACGTCCTAACATGATAATCACGATACGTGTATCATGTAAAACACGACTGCATGCTATTCTGATAGAGGCTTCACGGCCGTTTCGCTAGCTTCACATATACCAAGTTTGGTATTAGGTGACGTGAATACACGACGAAGGTCAATCACACGTCTAAACATGACAATCACAACATGCATGTCACGTAAAACATGACTACTTGCTACGCTCTTAGCGTGCTCGTGGCTGTTTGGCTATATTCACGAATAAGAAATTTAGTATCCCGTGACGTGAATAGACGACGATGTGAATGACACCTCCAAACATAATAATCATGACATGCCTGCCATGTAAAACATGACATGCTACGCTCAAAACGTGCTCTCAGCCGTTTCGCTAGTTTCAAATATACGAAATTCGTTATTACGTGACGCGAATGAACGATTAACACAAATCTGTTCGTGTCTCCGTGCGCTTGGCACGGAGACACAAACGGACCGCGTTACACAGGCTAGTCAAAGAGCTGCTTCAGCTCTAATAGACAGCGCAGCAACCTTTTAACTACCGCTATGGGCTCCTGCCTTGCGCAGTTCTTACTTCCAGTGTAGCAGAGGAATACCACCACCAATCAAAGTATGCAATAATTGCGTTTCTCGACTGATTCCCTAAACACTACCTTAAAAAAAGAGCGAACCTTCTGCGACATGTGTAGGAACTTCTCTGGAAATGCATTTTTAGACTGCCTGCCCGGGCTTGTTGGTAAATTATGTGGCGCTGATCGACTCGCAGGCACAGCTTCGGCGAGAAATTCTCCAAGCAGCAGTGGTTCAAGGAGGTAGCTGGCCAGCGAGAAATCCTGCACCTGTTCGGCGGCGTAAAGTTGGAGGATGTGCGGGGTATGCGCGCGCCCTTTTTGCAGATCGGCGGCAACAAGATGTTCGAGATGCTGCACGAGGCCAATTTCACCTACGACTCGTCCATGCCGGTGTTTGAGAACAACCCGCCTTTCTGGCCGTACACTCTGGACTACGCAATCAACCACGAGTGCATGATCACTCCTTGCCCGAGCAAGTCCTTCCCTGGAGTCTGGGAGGTGAGCTGCCTCTGGTGCTCTTTAGCGACGTCAAGTTGGTTATTCACTTGGTCGCACCAATGAAGATACACGAAATTTATGGAGCCTGTTTTTGCCAGGCGCATTCGGGGCGTCTTTCTGTCACACAGCAACAAATGTCATCTAGCTCATAAGCGCTATGTTTACTATGACCACACTCTCAGAACCAGAGGTGCTAATAAAATAAAAAAATAACAAGGAATGACCCACGTGTTGTAATGGCGGCCATTTCATTTTTATAAAAATGATTTATTCAAATCGTATCAAATTTTTAATGTAGCTGTAATATAAATGAATTAAAAAAGCGCGTCAGGCAGCCAATAGCTTACGCTCAATGGCGAAGATAATTTCTGATAGCGCCTTCTATTGATAACACACACCTGGCCTCTAGATTATTTACAGCTGTGTCACTCCGCTTAAACCGTGAAATAAAAGTGGTAGTGGCACGCGCAAAAGCAGCTTTTCTTTTGCTCAACTTCAGCTCCCATCGTGTCTGTCTGTAAGAAACAGCCTCGCACGATTTACGCATGGAGAGTTCCTTATAAAACATTTTCATCTTCATAGGTGATGAAAAATTGTCACACACGAATGATCTCATTCTTACTTTGTAAACGTCTTCTAAAGAATTGTCCACATAAAAAGTGGTAGATGTTTAGGCTTTATATGTTTATCTTGCATTTGACAGCCCAGAACAATGAAAATTTGAGGACATGCCTGATATATTTTCCAGCATATGACAAAGCCGTGCTCTTCAGTTTCTTTTGAAACAACAAGCAACTTTGCTTTTGTAGTCTTTCCTGCTTATTGCAATGACTTCAGTTCTAAGAGTTGACTTTAGGAAGCGTAGGTCTTGCTTAGCTGTGAGGAAATTCAAATAAGACATTTGAAAGACAAATCTATAAGGTTCCCATGCCAAGGCTTTATTTTCCAGCCTGAACGCAGGAGGGTTCAGGATTTTTTCCTGTCCCGACCCATGATTCACCCTACTGCCCGGAACTTACAAGGAACAAAATAACGTGCGCTTTGTTATCACGAAGCAGCGTTCTTGAAAGGGTACTGCAACACATTTTCGAACATGGAAAGAAAAGGCCGCCAATCGCTTGTTGAGGCTACTGAGAACACGCGAGCCAATATTTCTCAAAGTTGACTGAAAATCGTTTCCCCATCTCTCGACAAACCATGTCATAGTTATTTGCCACTGGCTAATTGGAGCATTTTGAGCTCAATGCTTATCGCTGATGCCGCATGAGGCATAAAGTTTTCTAATTATGCACTAGAGTGAACTCTGGCTTTAGTGCCTATGGGAGCTGCAACGCACGGCGCATAGGGAGCATGGGGATGATGGGTAGGGCACAGATTTGTCTAATCTTCGTTCTTCTGTCTTCGCTTTTGTTTGCGTGGTTTGTAGCTTTTTTTGTCACGAAACAAAAATCAGCAAATCTTTAGCGGTTGCGCTTCACCGTCTGAGTCTTTTAGGCTTACCATCTTCAATCGGGCAACGAATTTCAAAGAAATTCGTTCTTTCCTTCGAAACGAAACGGAAACACAGCAGTAAACGAGGCCATAAATGCGATTAACCACCCGCGAGTACAAAGACTAGGCAAATCATCACTCCCATGGTCGCTCAACGATCGCGTGCAGCGCCAGAGTCTCCTCTGATAATTTCCGGAAACTCTATGGTGAGTGCGGTTTTATGCGTCGACTGGCGCCAAAAGACGCTCACAAATGCATTAAAAACTCTATGGTGCGAGGCCATCACGTGTTCACGATCACACCAAAAGTAATACGCGCGTTTGAAGGCAAAGAAAAGGGCCCGAGCTGAGCCTTTACAGAAAAAAAGGCGTGCTTTAATTAAGTGTGCGACAAATTCCGGCGACTACACTCGAACTTCACGGATTCTGATAATTTCTGGGGCAGTCGATTCGCGATGCAACAAGCTCTTTTGCGAAGCCACTCAGCGGATACCTGGGAAGGGGTTGCGAGGCCCTATTTAGAGGAATGTGCTGAGTGCCCATTGGTGCTAGACGCCAGCGCAGGCGAGTGAGAGCACTTAAATAGCTTGTTTAGTGAAAATTCCAGCGTGGGTATGGGCAACGTTAGTTGTGAGCGAAAAATCGTCATCCTATTCATGGAGGAAAGCCGAGGAGGATAAAAATAATAAATATTTCCTGGTTGGAGTGACGACTGAATCCACGCCGTTTGCGGGCAATTACCACACAGCCACTTGCCCGCTTGGAACTTGCTCTGATAGAAACTGCAGTGAAAATAACGTTCCAGCTTTACAAATACACGCGTACTGTATACAGGCTTCACTTGCAATCTTCGCAGTAATACTGCGTGGTACGAGCGTAGTTGTTGTTGTTGTTGTTCTCCTATTGTTAGAGTGGCGCATACCCACTGTGGGGGATTGGCCGAGAATCGAGTGGTACATTGTCATCAGGCGTCATAACACGTGATGATCATACAAACTTCGTGCTTAAAGCCAGCCACCTACTACGAAAGAAGCACACGTTAGTGCGCGTATTCCCCCGCGTAGAGAGTTCAAAAATATTTCAGGATGAAAATGCTTGAGTGATATAGAAAATGAAATTGCGTACTAGGGTCAGGATATTAAAGGCAAAACCTAAGGATTGCCCAATCTTTCGTTGAGAAACAAAAAAAAAAAAAAACGTCCCAAGTACGGCTGCTTTAGAAAGAATTCTTTCATCTTAGTTTGTTTAGCGCTTCTGTATTTTCAAGACAAGTCTCATTAGAGTAGTCGTTCTTTTGAAGTGCTAAAGCAGTTATTTTGATATGTCATATTGCTGAGGTCATAGTTCCTTGACTTTTGCCGTTTCTGAGTTTTATGTTTGTTCATTAAAGAATATATCTTTATGCCTTGATTTTTCTTGTCATAATTTGCGCTTCAGCGTGAACACTGAGCATGAACACTGCATCAGCATGAACACTGAGCGGGCTTTCTTCCCATTGTTGCTTTTGGAAAAAGTAATAAAGATGGCGTTGAAACTAAAGTAGGCGACAGCCTTAAAATAAAAAGTAGAGTGTACCGCTGTCCATGCTCGTCAACCTGCGGCGCTCAATATTATGACGAAACAGTATTGTTGAACCCATAAGAAATTAAACATGATGCTAATCGCGACGAGAGGTGAGTTGTCACGGCACCGAGACCCGCAGGCGTAAATTCGTTTTTTCTGGGGTGTTTTCATCATCAAAAAGAAGGAATTTCCTACTGTTATCCCCTCTCTTTCGCCATCCTTTTCGCCGGTCGTCATTCGATGCAGACTTGTCTGATTTTGCAGTGCTTGAAGTGCACCAAAGCGTCAGAGCTTTATCGCGTTCCTTCGTTTCGGCAGCGTGAAGCAGCAACGCGGCGTCTATTCTCTCCGTCACTCGAATGTACCAAGCATATCACCTGAGGACGGCTACTCTCAACGATTGTCATATAATCGGTGACAACTGTTCCTTGCAGTGGAGCGAAGGCTACAAAGCCAAATCGTGGGCATCCTACCACCAGTGAATGTAGTTCCCCAACAGCACCCTGTAAAAGATAGAAGTTCCCCCTTTATTTTCTACGTGGAGCAATTTGAGACAGGACTTAGCTCCCATCATTAAGATAGCCGTATTTACTTTAACCTGTTAGTTGCGACTTCGCGTTTTTGAAGCGCACGAGAAAGTCCCGCCTTTTTACGTGCACCTCGAACGCTAATGGGCATCTGCGTGTACATGAAACGCTGATCGTTTGCCCCCGTCACTTTCCACAGCGTTACAAGACGCGCGCCAGAAGGGACTACTTCGCGTAGTCCTACATGTGCAGAAGCTCCGCCTACATAGCTTTCGCTTCAGTGCCAATAAATGTTGTCGCCGAGTATAATGATAACAATTTTGGAGGTTGAACTCTCTCAACGATCATCGGCCCGGTCATTCGTGTGCAGTAAGGTGAAGATGAAGTGGGCATGTGCGCGTCTGTGTTCTGTGGAATGTGCACGTCTGCGATTTACTGCCCGCAAAGCCACGACATCATACTTGGGTGTCGCATCTTGGGGATGTTTTGCGATGTGCGCTGCGCTGTGCGCCTGAATAAGTGATGTACTTCGTGTGGACGAGGCATGACAGAAAAGCGACCAACAGCATCTGCTAGCGCGACACAGTGTGAAAGTCAACAAAGCAGGCGTGGAGTATACAGTGGTGTTTACATTTTAAAGGGACTGACAACTGTCCAGAACATGAAATGAGATTACTGCATGGATAAAAAGATTGCCCCTTATAGTGACTCAAACCAATCCTGTTTTTCTCGTCAGAAGTGGAGTCATATATTTTTTATTCCTTTATTTAAAATCACAAAAAATAGCCTGTGGCGCTTATGGTGGCCAAAACTTCAATTATTCGATTTACCCTGTCAAGTGACTGTAGATTAGTGCACGCAGTGAATAATGTTTTTGTTAGTATAGAAAATTCTTCGCTTATTTGTAGTAAAAGATGTTACTTGATGAAAATGTGCATATAGGCCTGCGTTAGTAATACGCAATAAAGTGGCGCTGCCTTCACGTGACGTAATGATTCCATGCTCGTCAGTACATATTAAGCAACTTTTCTGCGTGCTCATAAAACCATGCACAGGGTTTTCAGGTCGTCAATATTATGAAAAGGCATGGTTTTTCTAAAGACAATTTGTCTCAGAAATGACGTCTACGGCTACTCGGCACGGCTGTAGTGTACTAGACTACTATAGCACGACTGCGCGTATGAGCAGTGAAGTTTTCGTTGACTTGGCTTGGCTCGTTTGTCGAGAGAGTAACGAAGACGGGACAAGCCATCCACGACCCAGGTAGAGAGTACTAAAATTTTTTCTAGTGCACTATAACACAGGTGCATTGCGCGCAGGCGCACACAACGAGGCGGTCCTAATGAGGTAAGCTGTATAAAGCTACATCGTCTCATTGTAACGGCTTCTTAATTTAAAAATAGTTGTAATTCTCAGAATA